AAAATATATTAATTTTCAAAAACAATCTGTAGTACGTTCCTGGTTTTAGCGCGACTGCGTCGCGCAGCTACCCTAATCAGAAATGATTTTTTTTTAAAAAAATGTATGCTAAATAAATATATATAAGGACTTAATATTAGTTGATATACATACATCATCAGAAGTAATGTTAAAAAAATTGGCAATCAGAAATCAGAAATCATCGATTTCTTTTTTTTTTTTTTGATCTGCAAATTTCACATTTTTTTGCAAACCGCAATAAATAAAAAATCCGTGATTTATAATTGTGATTTAAATTATGTGCAATCCCCACTGTTAAATCTAAATGAATTTGTCAATCCTGGACAAATTCCATAATAACATTCAAGTCCAGTCCATGTGAGGCTCTCGCGGAACCCTAATGCTGACTAATTAATTTCATTAAAAATCGACCTAAGTTTCGTTATACGTATCACAGGTTGAATCAATGAATATCGGGTGCATAGCGGGAGACAAGCTTCCTGTTATGTACCCGGTAGCCTGCCATAGATCCGCCAAATAACTGCTGAATAACAGTAGCATATTGGTAGAATATTGGAAAGATATCGGGAGGTAGATAGATATTAGCAACATAACAGCAATATCCCGATATCTTACTTTTAGACCCAGAATGCTAAGAGTAAAATATCAGAGTATCCTAATATTGTGCTGTTATATTGCCAATATGCTACTGTTATTCAGCAGTTATTTGGCGGATCTATGGCAGACTATCGGGTACATAACAGGAAACTTGTCTCCCGCTATGCACCCGATATTCATTGATTCAACCTGTGTATATAATCGATAAAAATGAAAATAACATGTGTCAATTAAGAATCGACAATTTTAGTTCCATGAGCAAAAGAATTAGTAAATGTTATAATTAACAATAAGGATCAAATATATGACTGATTAGTAAATCATTAAATACAATTACGGGATTTCACTTTACAAGATACATAATATACTGTAGACTAAAAATTCTTACAAAAATTATTTAAACAAAAAACAATTCCAAAAACATTAAATAATACAGGCAACTCTCATTAATTGATAAATAGAATGTAGTAAATTACTTTATGATTAATTTTAAATTTTTTTGCTATAAAAAATCATAAATACGTTGTAAAGAGAATAATTTCAAATATTTCTAATCTAATAACCATGAATTTTTTATATTTAATTTTATTAAACAAATTGATATTTTTAATATCTTAATAATAACAATATGCTTTTACATAATTCATTTTTATTACAAACACTTTACTCGTCCGAATCCTTTACCCGGTCCACTACCAATTCCTCTGATAGGAAATCTTGAAATTCTTAAAAACTCCAATCTGGATATAGATGAATGGACCCATAATTTAAATAAAAAATTTGGACAAAATGGAATATTCGAATTTAATATGGCTGGTGTTAGATATATAATGATTAGTCGTGCAGAATATTTGAATAGATTTATGTTACCAGAACAAGGTGATCATACGAAATATTTAATGAGAACTAATAAGAATAGGGGGCTTTTAGATTTATTTGATTTTAGTAACAAAGGAGTTGCAT